CAATTCAACCAATATTAATTTAAACTGCATAATACAAATAGTCAAATCAAATAAAAATACATTAATTTTATATTGAAAACTGAAAAAATTAGATAATTTGAAACAAAATAAAATTCTCTAGAAAATCAGTTAAAATGATACCGATGAAGTATTACATTGATTGAAGTTATTGAAGTATTTATGCTTGTTTGATTAGTTTATCTTCGGAAATAGAAAATAATATGAACTAATTAATAAACAAGAAATATAGATCAGGATATTTATTATCAACTAATTAAAAAACATAAAGTTTATCGTAACATAGTATCATATTCCAAATACATATTATCCATTCGAATGAAAATCAATTTTGTTTAAAAAATGGCGCAATCGATCTAACCCAAATTCGGCTCGATATTTATTTAGTTCAACCTATTTAATCTATAACTAAAATCAAGTTTGCCGAGATTAATAGCTAAACTAATCATTATTTTGAATGAACATGTGACAAATATATTCACGTAAAAAACATAAAGAAGTTTAAACTGATATGTAAAACTATGGGATAATATATTTATTGTCAATTAATTATATATAAGTAGAAGGTTACTGCAACTAAACATATAAAAGAATGAAAAGTAGCAATTTGGATAATATATTATTATGATTTGGCTAGTAGAGATACATTTCAGTGTCAAACATTGGTGGAGATACTCATCAAGTGTTTTGTTAATTCTTTCGACGGGTTTCGAGTTTCTTTATCCTCAAGACTTTTCTATAGCTGTTGGATTAATTAAAAATTGTTAAATCACTATAAAAAGAAGCTATGGAAAATATTGTTCAATCAAATTTTGTCTAAGTCTAAATTTTCTAACTATTAAACAATTAAATAATGTTACGTAAGTAAATTGGATAGATTTACTTGGCTTGGAAAAGTTGTGTAAAACCGAGCACCACCAAATATCATGATGATTTAATAGAAATTTCTTTAATTTTACACATTTAATTAGACTACGGTGTAACTCAAACGTACCTAAGTGCTGTGATGACTTCTTTTTTTCCAGCAAAGACAAAAGTATAATTTGATGGGTGGTGGAACCGAATTTAGCACCTTTGACTAAGATCTGATCCAGATCCGAATCAAACATGAACTTTGCCCACGTGAGTTTCGACTTAGCAGATGTGTTCGACCCAGATTCATGACGATCTAACCGATTTAGTAGGCTCCGGATAAAAAGGAAAAGATCAACATGAATAATGGAAAATAGCTTAAAGTTAGAAGATTTTTCATGTTTTTAGAAGTTTTTTGTAAATTATGAATTATGAGATGTATTTGTAGAATTTGTTAGATTTAGTATGATTAAAAATTA